ATTGAAGATTATCAACTAACACCCATTACCTCTTGGTCGCAGAGCTGCTTACTGGAGAGGACTTGAACTGGGGCAGGGAAGAGGGCTACAGTGGAAGGACCCAGGATAACAGCGAGAATTGGGCTAATAAGAACCATTGAAGTTTGTGGTGGGCTGTCCCACTTAATGGAGCCTTGCCCACCTTGACCATTGAGTTCAGACTCTGCCACTGCTTGGTGACTTGGCAATGCCCTTTCTCTCCCTGGATCTCAGTGATTTTTACCATAAAATATAGAGGTTGGGTTTTCAGTGGTATATAACAGCAGGACCTTTACTCTCTTCCCTATACACTGGCACTAGAACTATGTATATATAGTTATATATATCTGATAAAAGTGGAGGTGCTTTGATTGAGGCTGATGGGGGTGGGGGGCTCACAGAGTTCTCTCTCTATCGTTTTCTGATGCTTCTAGTACCACAACAAACCAAAGGGCTCCATCCTGTTATCCCTTTAACTACTTATAGTAACTGGAAACCATTCCAACCTGTCTTAATTCAGTCTAGGAGCTCTACTAGCACAGTGGTTAACAAGCTTACCTGTTAACCAAGAGGTCAGTGGTTTGAATCCAGCCACTGCATGGGAGAATTGGGTGGCAGTCAGCTTCCGTAAAGATTTACCACCTTGGAAAACCCTATGGGCACTGTAATTGGAACTGGAACTCAAGGGCAATGAGTGAACTCAGTCTGCCCTCATAATACTATTAGGTCTTGGTTATAAAAGTTAAGTAATTTGCCTGGTTGTGGCAATATGAAACTGAGTAAGCATCCAGAGTGGGTTCTGTTAACCCCCGACACACCTGGCCTTCTCTCCTACTGGCCTAGGCCCTTGTCTGGTCCAGATTTGGAAAAGAAAGGAGATGAAGGATCAATCCTTAAAGGGATGTTAGAATCAATGGTTTTTTTATTGGTTAAATCTTTCAGCAGAAAGGAAGGCGGGTGCCTGCCGATTCTGGGTTCTCACCAAGGTGGATGTTCATTATGTAAAGGCTGGGAATATGTGTGCCAACAACTCTCTTCCCCCCCGCAGCCACACATTCGAAGGTTTGATGGAACACAATTCAAACAGGCACTCATTAGGCAACAGGCCCATTTCTGCTTAATCACAGGCAGTGAAAGAGCAAATAAATTGGATCAGCCAATGTGCTCCCCAGCAAAAGCCACTGGTAGGCCCCGCTACTAACACTGGCTGTTTTTCAATCATGTGCAGAGTAGAAAACTGGGATTGGAAGGAAACTCGCCAGCAGATAATGGGATAGGCCCTTCCTGGCACTTGCAGTACATCCATTAATAGCTATTGACTGAGTACCTCACCTGCACCTGAACCCTGGTGGCACAGAGGTTTGTACGTTAGGTTGCTAACCACAAGACTAGCAGCTCAAAACCACCTGGAGAAAGATGAGGAAAGCGCTCTGCTTCCGTAGATGTAGTCTCCGAAAACCACACTGTGGTCCTACCCTGTCCTACAGGTTTGCTATGAGTCAGGATTGGCTCGGATGGCAGAGGGGTTTGAGCTTTGCCATCTACCTATGGAGTTCTGGTGGCACAGTGGTTTCACAGTGGGCTGCTAACCACAAGGTCAGTGGTTCAAAACCATGGGTCTTCCGACTCCCACAAAGAGGTACAGTCTCGGAAATTCAGTGGTTACACAGTGGCCTGTTAACCACACAGCGAGCAGTTCAAAACCACCAGGAAGATGAGGCTTTCTGCTTTGCTAGATTTAGTCTCAGAAACCCATGGGGGAATTCTACCTTCTTTTACAGAGTTTAAGTTGCAATCAACTCAATGCCCCTGAGGTCTTTTTTCTTTTTTCGAGTTCTTCTTTTGGTACAGACCTGAGCACTGGGTTAGATGGTAACCACTAGGCCAGGTACTATGGATCTAAGAAGATGTCTTTATATGGTAAGCATTTTGCAAATTTATGACTGGTCCAAGAGGCGATAAAAGATCTTCAGCCATGTCCTCCAACACATGACAAGGTTTACTCTTTCAGAAGACTTCAAGGAGCTCCGTTCTTAGCTGGGTACTAATACTGTCCCCTTGGGTAACAGCCTGGCGTGCTTCTGCTTTCTCATTCATTGCCTAGGCCATTATCTTTCTGGACCTTGACTGGGGTGCCCACCGGCCCAGGACACCTCCTCTCGCTGGACAAGGTGCCTGGCCTATGAGCTCGCACGGAATCCTATGCTCGCTCAATTCCAAAGCAAAAACCAAGCTCACCCCCCCATGGAGTCCATTTGGGCTCACAAGGACGCTAGAAGGCAGGTGAGATTTGTCCTTGTGGGTTTCCAAGATGGCACGTCCTCTCTCCTGAGTGGCCCCTGCGTTGACTGGGGGGATTAGCCCAATGCTGAACCCTTACGCCATCAGCGCTCCTCTATGTTTCTCCTTCTTTGTGACCTCAACTACCATGGATACTACCCGAAGGCCTCAGGATCTATTTGGACAAAAGATCCCACTGGCGAGAGACATGGGTGTAGCCCATCTCCGGCGGAGCTGCTGCGGGTCCGGGATGGAGAGGAAGGGTGCTAGGAGACGAGTTACTAGGAGTTGGATGGTTTCCTCAGAACTCTCCCCTGAGCGGTGCAGATGCTCTTCCTGCGGCGTCTGGAGTCCAGGCAGAAAGTCTGCATTACTTGAGCTCCAGGGCTCATTGCCATCAAGTTGAAGGCAAGCCACTGCACTCCTATAGGACTGAGCAGAAATGCCTCATTGGGTGTCATAAACTGAAGGCTTTCTGTTAAGCAGACGGCCACATCTCTCTCCCCTAAGTGGCAGGTGGGTGGGCACTTGGCCTCCATGCACACCACGCCCCCAAACCAAACTCACCACCACTGAGTCGATGCTGATTCACAGCAACCCTACAGGAAAGGGTGGAACAGACTCTGGGGTTCTGAGACTGTAACTCTTCACAGGAGTACAAAGTCTCATCGTGCTCTCCCAAAGGGCGGCTGGTGGTTTTGAACGGCTGACCTTGTGGATTGCAGCCCGACCAACACATACCCTGTAGGCCAGTCTGGCTGAAACAGAGCTGCAGGTACACTTCTGAGGGCATCTAGGCTTTGACATGAAAAAAGGGTGTGGCGCACCTCACGCACAAGCACAGGTCTGTCAGTGAGGGTTTGTCTGCATGCTGCTGTGGTGTGGAATAGGCCCGGTGAAGTTTCCAGGCTCAGATGGATGATGGAGGGAGGCCTGGCGTCGATGTTTCTGAATGAGTTTTTGCAAAGCCTTTCAGTAACAATGGTTTCATCCACAACTCATCTTCCATTGCGAAGGAGGTCACGGGAGTCAGGAGCCACGAGATGTCAAGGAACAAGAACAAAGTTCTTTGGAAGGATTAGTTCCTGGAGACACAACCCACTGCCAATGAGTCGAGTCCGTGTCTGACTCCCACTAGCCCTATTGGACAGGGTAGAACTAATTGCTCCTTCATTTCCAGGCCTGGAAATCTGTTTTCTCCCTCAGAGCTGCTGGCAGTGCAGGGAGCAACCCATCTCAGCAGACACCAGGCTCCTTTCAGGGAGACCGTATTTCCTAGTACATTGCCATCGACCTATAAGTAAGGAAAGATAGCTTGTGGGGTGTGTGTGTGTGTGTGTTTTCATCCGTAGTAGCAGTGGTTCACCGTTCTCTGAAAGAACGCAGAGACCCTGAGAGATCTTGGTTCTTGGTTGTGGTGGGGATGAGCGAGACACAACCAGTTGTCAGAAAATAATCATTTTCCCAAACCCCAGGTCTTTAGTTAAATACGCACAATTTTATTTATTGAAGAAATTAGGACAAAAACATTAAACCAAATGCATGACAAAGCACCAGAGGCCATAGATCCCCACCATGCACATCACCAATCTTTCCTCCTACAACACAGGTAAAAAAAGCAGGGGAGAGGGGTGTGAGAATAAGGTCCTTCTTGACAGAGCACCGTCTTCAGAATGGTTAAAAAAAGAAGAAGAAAAAAAAGAAGCAAAACACCTCTCTCCTTTATAGCTTCCATTATCAAAATAGAACCAAGGCCAAATCCAGGGCCGCCTTGTCTCCTGATGATGAAGGGTCAAGCCGCCCTCAGGGGAACGTGAACAACATGGTGCCTGCAGAGCAGGCGGGAAGCATCCAAGGGTCTGCACATACATGCCACACACTAGAATTAAGCACAGATTCAAGTAACATTTACATACTAGAGTCCACGTGTTACCTACCCCAAAACATGACCATTTTCACAAAACATACACAAGCAGTAAAATCCAAACAACTGAGGTACTGAAAACACAAATACTTATGCTGAAAGGTTTCTGTATCATACAGCAATAGAAAAGCAGTAATAAAAAAACATTTGCCACTCGAAATCAAATCAAGCTATCTAGAAGAGCCAAATGAAAGGTTATTTCGGGGACAGAAATACTCAAACAAGGAAAAAAAAAGATAAATGTTAACTACAGCATGTAACATGTCATCCCAAGTCAACCCGTAATTGAAGTACTGGCTTAATACATCACAATGTGACATTTTCCTTAATAAATAGAAGAGTTCTTGAAAATACAAAGGTGCGTATTGGGACAGAGAGCTGCTGTTCTTATTTATCTACCCCTAGCTTTCACCTTATGATGCCTTCCCACTCTCTACGGAGGGTGCATTTCAAACCAGAGGGTCTTCCAAGCTCAAGGTTCGTTCTTCGTCAGAACAAAACAAACAAACAAACAAACAACAAAATAGCTGCCCTGTATTTTATGTGGGACAACCTGCTTTGTTTCACTAGTATCCAATCAAACAAGGACGAAATGTTGAGCGGATTGGCATGTGGCAAAAGCAGATGGATCTAAGTGCACACTGCTATCTCAAGCCACTGTTATCATCTCCGCAAAGAGGAATGGCTGTAATTCAAACCCTCACCATTCTGCAGAGAGAGAGAGAGAGAGAGAGAGAGAGAGAGAGAAAAAAAAAAAAAAGACAAAATAACGAAGGAGTTGAATTTCTCTTTTTTTTCTTTCTTCTCCTCCCCTCCCTTGCACCCCCCTCTACTTTAAATGATGATAGCGGTAATACATCTGGAAGTTTGGCTTCTAATAGCTTCCTGCCACAAACCAATTGACACAGAACAGAATAACTTGTCAAAGGACAGATTTTCTTTTCTTTCTTTTTTTTTCCCCCCCTTCAGGGAGCAAAGCATTAACATGTTATTTCCTGACCAGGATATGAAATCGTTTATTTAGAAGAACTGATTTGAAGAGAGCAATTAAGAGAGACACGAACTAGACTGTCGTTTTGTTTTCTTTTAGTTTAGCACCCAGGTTGCTTGTAAGTCTGTGTGCACCGAATTATTTTGAAGTGAACCCCATGAATGATCAGATTGGTGCTTGGCTTGTTTTAAAAAGAAGGAAAAAAAAAATCCTTGGCCAATTGTACCTGCCCTGAATCAAGACAAGGCGTTGAACGCTAACAGTGCGATGCCAAGATGTGTGTCCCAGGCAGAGATTCAGTCCTGTCAGGATCTACAACTACTTTTGAACAGAACAGGAAGTAGGGTAGGCGGACGTGGCCCCACTGGCAGGGGTGGGCTCCTGGACCCTGTAAGGGCAGAGTAGCCCGACAGTGTCCCCTGTTGCTTAAATGCCACCCATGAGACCTCACCCCAGAGCCCAGCCCCATCCTGTGCCCCGTGCCCCCATGCTCCATGTTTTGTCTGCTCCTTGAAGGTTTTCCTTCTTTGAAACAAGAAACGTGTGAGTGTGAATGTCTTTCTTGCTACCAAGCGGGCGATGTGTGTTCCCTGGAAGAACTCCCTCTCGGTGCCCTCTCTCGCTCCTGGTACCTGGGAAATACCTAGTCCCTCTGTGGGGCGGGAGCTCAGTTAAAGAAGGGGTCCAAGTTCTCCTCCATATTGACATCGGGCACCAGCTGGTCAGATACTTCCTTAGCACCATATCCTGAATTCGAGACACTGAAATCTGTAGAAAACCAAGGATGGTCCAGAATTTCCTGGGAGGTCAGCCGCTCCGAGGGCTCCCGCCGAAGAATGCTACGGATGAGGCACTTGGCCTTGGGGGACAGGGTCTCTGGAATGTTGAATTGGCCACGCCGGATCTTGCTGAAGAGGGAACTGGGTTCAATGTCATGAAAAGGGTACCGCCCCACCAACATGGTATACAGCATCACTCCCAGGCTCCACACGTCGGCGGCTTTGCCTGAGTAGCTGCCGCTGGTATTCAAAATCTCTGGGCTCACGTAGGCCGGGCAGCCGTGCTTGTCGGAGAGGGAGTCGTCACCTCCACGCAGGATGTACGCGTCTTCCAGGCTTTCCAGCTTGACCCGGGTCCTGCAAGGAAGAGAGCGAAACAGGAGGTTCAAAGGGTGATCTGAGAAACAGGAATCCCGTCATTCTGATGTAGCTCTTACTAAATTTAAAACAGAAAAAGAAATTCTCCCCACCCTCCAAATAACTGTTCCTGGGGACCCTACAGGTGTAGCAAATGATACCCGCGTCCATGGGGACCATATGTGTGTCAGTGTGGAGCTAAGCTCCACAGACTTTCCGATGGTTGATTTTTAGAAAGGACATTGCTAGGCCTTACTTCCAAGATATCCCTGTTGGACTCAAGGCATTGACCTGCAGGTTCCCAGACAAACATCTTAACCATGTGCACCACCCAGGAACCCCCAACGGCTCCTGAAGTGTTCATTCATTCACCAACCAAATGGTGTTGACCGAACACCAGCGATGATCTAGACGCCACTGTTGTGGTTTGGATCATGTAGGTCAACAACACTGACAGGTATTTTCCGTAAACCTTAAATACTGGACACACACCTTCAAGAAGCAAAAAGTATCAGAGCTAAAATTTTGAACACTCATTTATAGAAGGCAATGAAGGGCGGTGGGAGCCCCAAACCCACCTGCCAAGTATATAGTCAGACCTAGCCAGTGGCTATCTGCTATGGTTAAAGGCAAGAGTCCCGAACAGCCATACTAGCAGGAAGAGGCCATTGTAATCTTATTATGCTGGATAGAACTTGATACTTGGCCAGTCGACGGTGACCTCCCTACAGACATGACCTGAAATTGTACTGGTGCAAGCATCTCTTAGTTGTCCCATGAGAGAAAGTTCTTCCCTGGCATTTTGAATGTTAATGGGAGCCTTCTCCCACTGACAGAAGTAGGTTCAAAACCTAGTCCATTTGAGGCTCATATTCTCTTACCAAGCCCATCTTCTGTTTCCTAGCATTTCTGTTGATATCATCTCTTATCCCACCAACCACACTCCTAGGTGGGTGCTTCTCACCTTACTTAAAGACCACAGTTTTTAAGACTCAGTTATGGTACCTACTGTCTGTCAGAGTAGAACTGTGCTCCCCAGGGGTCTGCACGGCTGATTTTTCAGAACAAGATCATCAGACCTTTCTTCTGAGGGACCTCTAAGTGGGCGTGCGCTTCCAACCTTTTCGTGAGGCTCTGAATGAGGATGCATTTGCAACACCCAGCTGCTCCTTCAATTGACTTCAACCATTGAACCAGTCCATTGCCTTCAACTAGATACCAATTCATAGCGAACTTACAGGACAGTGTAAACTGCTCCCGAAGGCTTTAAGTCTTTATGGCAACAAGAAGCCTCATCCCCCTCCCATGTAGGTTCAAAATACTGACCTTGTAGTTAGCAGCCCCATGTGTAAGACACTGCTCCATCAGGGCTTTATCCGGCATAGGCTATCTACATTCCCTCTTTCTGTAACCACACTTATGATTTTGATTTCTCACTATGTGTGTGTGTGTGTGTGTGTGTGTGTGTGTGTGTTAGTAGTAGTAGTAGAAGAAGAAGAATCAGTCCTCAAACTACTCACCTGCCCCCAACTTTCCCTTTGTCTTTTAAGAACTACCAAAGGTGCCCTGGTGGTACCAACCACCTTTAAACATGAAGCTGTGAACAGAAAGACTGAACTCCCAGTGGCTCTGTGGGAGAAAGGCCTGGTAATCTGCTCCCATAAAGATCACAGCCAAGAAAACGCTAGGGGCCTTTCTACTCTGTCACCAGAGGTCACTAGGAGTCAAAAATCAATCACTGGCAACTGGGACTGGAGGACTCTCCTTGAAGTGTTGGGTAAACACTGGATTAAACTCCAACCTCCCTGGAAATTAGAAATAATCTTTATATGCCTTTCTATCTCCAAGGCATGGGTAGTGAGACTTTATCTTACATACTTTGGACATGTTGTCAGGAGAGACTGGTCCCTGAAGAAAGACACCATGCTTGGTCAAGTGTAAGGGCACCGAGAAAGAGAAGGTCCCCAGTGAGATGGATTGACACAGTGGCTGCAACAATCATCTCAGGAATAGGAACGATTGTGGGGCTGGTGTAGCACTGATCAGTGCTTTGTTCTGTTGCGCACACAGTTGCTGTGGGTGGGGACTGACTTGACCTAGGAGCAACTGTCTCCGAGAGGGCTTGACATAACCACTGGGTATAAAAGACATACAAGCCCAGTTAATTGCTCTTGGAAATGAATTCTCATACTTTACTGTACTAATTCCCGACAGCAGAAATTGGCTTTCAAGAAACAGACTTGCTACACTTGAGACTGTAAAGCTGTCTTCCATCAGCATTCCAAGTTGATTGACCAATCTTTCTTAGCCTAGAGGCCTCTGGGGAATTCCTATTTCCCTAACCTCCCACTCTTCTTGGTAGAAAGTTAATAATTACTACCTTTCAGTCCTTGCAGCCTAAACCCTCCCCCTATTCTCCCTGCCAGACTTCATCACAGTAGTTCTAGGGTCCTAGAAAGCTATAGTCCCATTCCTTCCCATCCAGTCTCATCTCATCCCATCCAGTCTCATCTCATCCCATCTCACTAAGAAGGTGACACAGGGTTGGGAGAAAGGAAGAGAAGTTAGAGTTGGAATTTAGACAACACGTATAAACACCATATTGCTGTGCTCATAAAAGCATCTACTCTTTTTTGCTGCTAGGTGTCTTTAGTGAATATTAAATAAGTTGAGGACAGAAGACACCACAGTGGCGTCTTGGCCATCAGTAGAGGATGGGAAACCAGACCCATCCACTGCTATTTCTCTTCCTCCTTCCAAGGGCCAGTGTTGGCATGACAGGACGATCAGCATGTCTACTAACAGAGTTGCAGAAGGGAAGGGATACGCAGTCAAAAGGAGAGTTGATGGGAGCGCTCTACTGCCAAAGGCCTGGCGAAATCCCAGGTTCATTGTAAGATTCTCGATTTGGTTTACAGGGGTTTCAAGGATCAGGAAGTGACCAATTCCCTTGCACAGATTTTCATTAATGAGCAAGAAATTGCCGTGGTGATTAGAAAGGGCAACTGGGCTAGGAGCTAGGAGGGCCAGTTTGCAGCCAGGACGCCGTCTCTCACCTTCACTGTGAGTGAGTCACCCACCTCTGCTTCTTAGCCTCAAACAAGAGTATTGGACAAGACAGACTGAAGATCCATGGCGGTGCTAACATACTGCAATTCTATAACATAAAGCAACATGCCCCTTTATTTTCGCACTCATATAGATATCTATTTGTTTGGCACTTTCCCCTATAGCTGGAGGGATCTAGCTAAAATTAAACCGATTGCAATTCAATCTCTTCCTTTTCCTTCTTCGAATCTAAGGTGACAGGTGGGGTTGACCCATAGCAGTCTCACTAGGTGTTCTGAGACTTGAGATGAATCAGCAAAAAACGGCAAGGCGTGGAGAACAGGGAGCCACAGACACAAGCTGTGGAGGTGCTCTCCCTCAACAGCCTCCCTTCTCCAGCCTGTCGCACATTGCCCCGCCATCAGCAGCTCTTGCCTAGCTTCAGGGGTGAGCCAAACTCCTCACCTCTGATTTCACGGTCTTCACCATGGTAGAACCAATAAAAATAATCAAGCCTCCACCTATGTGACAATGGCTGGGCCCGTGGAACAAGCACAAGTCTTCGAATCAGAGGATAATGTCAAAATCCTCAGTGGTGCAGAACATAGAAGCTAATGTCTCCCCCAGGGCTGCAGGTGACCACGTGGCTTTCTTTAGTCACGCGTCCCCTCTGAATCCCAGCCTCCTTACTGTTCCTGGAGCCTCTGTACTTGTTCTCCTCTGGCCTGAAATGTTCTTCCCCCAGAGGTGCACCACTCACCTCCAGACCTCTGCTCAAAGGAGCTCTTTTAAAGAGGCTGCCCGAGCATCCTCGATAAAGCAGTCAGTGTCCACATAACCTGTGCGCCGCATCCCCTTATCCGCATCTAAAATCCTGAACGCTTACACGCGAGAGGCAGGAGAATTCTTGTCTTCCATGGAGGAGACTCCAGTTAAGATTCACGGGCAGCGCTTGAAGGGCACTCCTGTCAGCGGGGGCCTTGCATGTGACTTACAGCCACAATAGAGGTCAGAGTAGAACTGTCCCATTGGGCTTCCAAGACTCTGCATTTTGATGAGCGCAGACAGCCTCATCTTTCTCCTGAGAAGTTAGTGGGCTTGAACCACTGACCTTGTGCTCCGACGACTAACTCACTATACATCCAGGGTTCTTCATTGTGACTAACAAGCCAAAGAAAAAAAATCCCAAACGTATTGTTATCTTGTCCACTTGGACCCACAGTGACCCTATAGGACACAGCAAAACTGCCGCTTAGGATTTCCAGGGCTGTTAAATCTTCATGGTATCTTCTTTCTCCCAAGAAACTGACCTTGCAGTTATCAGCCCAACACATAACCCCTTCTGCCCCCAGTGTTCCTCCTTCATAGCGATGAAGTAGAGGTCCAGTGGAAAGATCTCTGGAGGACATGGCTGACAAACTACCAGGAAGAGACCAGAGTGGGCTGGGTGGTAGATACGGACGCAAGGACTTTGACTCCTGCGGGCTCTGCTGTTTGGGGAGATGGCCCTTAGGACCCCAAGCTCTTTATGCAAAGCCAAATCTAAGGCCCCTTTTCCCAAGGGTCTTCTCTTTCCAGGATGCTAGCCTTCCTGATCCCTGAGTAGCAGTGCTCCCTGCAGGCAAACTATCCTAGGCCCTCTCCCTGCAAGCCTTCCTCAGGATCGGGTAAATGCTTGTGGGGCCCATCTGGTCCATTCAGCCCCCTCCAAGGAGTCCTTGGGGGGCATAAACAATGACTGTGCCTGGCTGCTAACCTCAAGGTCAGAAGGGCTCAGGAGTTCCCAGGCTGTTAAATCAAAGGGGGCCAAGGAAGAAAGGCTTGCCTTTGGGAATTGCAGCCAATGAACCTGCAATCAAGCAAAAGCGAGCAGCCAGCAGAGGGAAAGAGAGGTCTGGAAAAGACGAGGAAATGAAGCTCCCGCTGCACTCTTCTGACCTTGCCTCCTTCTG